CGCGCCCCTCGATCGAGATGGACCTAGACAAGCTTTTTCTGGACGAGGAGGGCGCTTTCTCCCTGAGCGGCTTCCAGGAGTTCACGGTGAGTTGTCTCCGTCGCCACTCTCGTCCGGCCCGCCCGAAGCTGTTTTTGCTTTGAGTAGTCGCGTCCATTTCTTGCTCTTCAGCTTTCCTCTCGCCATCCTGCGCGCCGTCGCTGCCTTTCTTGGCTGATCGATAATCGATCTGCGACGCGCCCTTGCTTTGGATTCTGGCAGAAAGACGCGTCCGTTTTTATTGCTAGAACCGAGGTAGAGCTCTTCACTGAACTGCTTCAGATCACCCCGAGATCTACCAGCAAAACTCCTTTTCTCCTTTCAGCCCAGGTTACGTTTTTTTTTTCACCCTACAATAATGTTTCTGTATCGGTGAATCCATTCCTTTAAAACTCACACTGAGTGTGAATTGTGACATTCCTTAAAATTTCAGAGCCTGAGTGTGAATTGTGACATTCCTTAAAATTTCAGAGCCTGAGTGTGAATTGTGACATTCCTTAAAATTTCAGAGCCTGAGTGTGAATTGTGACATTCCTTAAAATTTCAGAGCCTGAATACCTACCTCCTTATACTGAGGAAATAAGAGATCAAAAGAATACATTATAAATTGTAATCAGATAGAGGTATATATAACAAGGGCTGAACTCCTGAAGTGTTTGGAAACAAGGACATTCTGTTGTGGAGACCGAGGCTTTGCCAATTCTTCACGATGGCACTTTAGGCATCTTCATAGGATCAACTGGACCTAGTCATTTCTGACTTCAGTATAAAGCCTGTTTACTGTCATTTTGATGGTCTGGATTACTCTAGATTAAATGCTATATAGTGCAGAAAATAATATTTTATGTTTTCATGAATCAGCACAAAACCCTAGGGAAACTTGTTGCTTTGTGCCGCATTTTCTTAACGCTATTGCAATTGCTTTGCCAGTGAAAAAAGGCATTGACAACCTCCAGCTAGACTGGAGGGAGGTGTTAAGAGAGGGCTGAGCTTAGACACCTCGCTTTGCAGGAAGTGACAAAGGCCTGACACCCCCAGAATCCCTAAAGCCTTATCTGACCATTCCCAAGGGAATGCAGTCAGTCTGGCTAGATTCCTCTAACATAGGTAATTAATAATAAAGCTTCTGCTTGAGATTATCCCTGAGGGTTTTGGTTGCTTGCACCTGACTCCTCCCCACACTTGACAGGGCTTATTGGCTTGTTTGCATTTATTAATGTTCTCATAAGATACAGACTCCCATGCAAAAGAAGTGAAGAGATTTTTTCCTGGACTTTTGTCATATTCGTTATGACCAAGTCAAATACTGATTTCCCTTAAATTTAATTTACACTTAGATTCAATTAAAATTAATAAAAGTATCATTAATAAAATTAATAATACTTAACATGATTATTTTCCATTCACTAAAAATTATAATTTAATAACGTTTGGGATACTCCCCAGGCCGTATCAAAGCTTTGGAAGACCTCCTAAAACACTGGGAATCTAAGAGCCTAGAATTGTGCACCTTTACTCTAATGCTGATAATGCTTATAAGAATTGTTGGAGATTGGTGAAGTCTTAAGAGAGTAGGAAAAGGGCTGGCTCAGTATTTACCTTTAAAAGTAATAGAAAAACTGGTTGGAAGCCATGTATTTTTATATATGTTTGCTTACCTAAATCTTCCCATTTTTTAAAATTTCTTTGTGCAGTAAATAGCAAGTATATTACAGCCTTGTTTATCTCTAGATAAGCTATAGTAGAGTGAAGTAGAGAATTTAGTTTGGTTTGTCGGCATTTGTGGCATGTGCACAAAATATGCTAAAACTAAGAAATAAGCAGGGGATACTTGAGGTAGACATATGACATAAGCGTTATTCTTGGTAAATATCTATGGACCTATTTGGTGATGACCATGGCATATGGAGGATTGAAATTAGAAATTTAGAGAGGAAGAAATGATAGAATGTGCACTGAAAGAGGGGAAAAGGTGTGTGGTGTGTCTGTGAAATTAAGAAAAAGGGAGAGCATATAATTGATCTGAATGAAAGTTGTCTGACCTTGTTAGTCGAGTACATACATGGAAGTAAAGGTCTAAGTTTAATTCTCATTGAAAGAACCAAAATGTATGTCAGAAAGTATTCACTGAAGTTCTAAGTCAGTGGTTCTCAACCTATGGGTCGCGACCCCATTTGGGGTCGATCGACCATTTCACGGGGGTCGCCAAGCAAGGCTGTCTGCCATTTTTCCCCCTTTTCCAGCGGGTGCCTTACCTCCCTTGAGCTGGGCCAGCTGGTGGTCGGCCTGCTCCGTCTCTGCCGCTTGCCAGCTACGCCTCGGCTGGCGCAGGGGGCGGAACCACGCATGCGCAGCGCTCCCGGGCAGGGAAAGTCCTCGACTTACGATTGGTTGGGTAGTCCTTGACTTACGACCGGTTTAGTCCTCGACTTACGACCGGTTGGGGGTCCCGGCATTAAAAAGGTTGAGAACCACTGTTCTAAGTTATATCAGATGTGAAGGTATTGTGAAGGTTGCCTTATCAAGTGTGTTGCTGCCACAGGGTACTCCAGATTTTCAGCTGCATGTCATGTTAACTGCAGATATTTTGAATATGCATCTTGATCTCAAACTAGAAATACTGTATGCCTCCAAGCAGGCACCAGCCTTTTGGAGGAAAAAATCTTTTGATCTTTTAAATCCAGACTTTAGAGAAACAGAGAAAAGAGAGCTTCCCCCAAAAAAATAAGTGGCCAACTTGAAAACGGCTAAAGAGAGCAGCCTCAAAAATAATTTAATTGGAATTAGAAAGTATGCGTGCATATGTGCACCCTTCCCTCCCACACAAATAATTTTGCTGTTGCTTTAGGCTGAAAGCAAAATCAAGGCCAAGATATTTGTGATTGAGTAAATTCATGAGATTCTAAAAGTAATGATTGTTATGTTGCTATTTATTTTGGTTTTATTATATAGTGGTTTTGAGTTTTACTCAGTGGTGGGATTCAAATATGTGAACAACCAGTTCTCTGTGTGGATGCCGCTTCTGGAAGTCCGTTCTGGGCCTGGGCAACAAAAAATTAGCTACTGGTTCTGCCGAAGTGGTGCGAACCGGCTGAATTCCACCGCTGGTTTTACTGCTGTAAACCATTGTGTGGTGGTATCTAAATTTCATAAATAAATCAGCCAACAAGCTATACAATAGTTGGATTTGTTTAACTTTAGCTTTGCCTATGAAGTCAACTGTTGTGGTCTGTGATCTCTGAATTACTGTAGTGTGGTATATGAATCCAGCAACTCTTAGGTCCTCAACAGGGCACTTTTGTAGGTCATGCCACTCATTGATATGCTTTAACACTAATTCTGTCTTTTCTGTGGGAAGACCCCTATTTTGAAACAATTTGCGACTGGAATTAACTCTGATTTCTTCCTTGTTACAATTTCAGAGGGGTTTTAAAATAAAAGTTTTACTCAGGTTTAGAGAAAATTTTATTAT